TGATCCCCACCATTTCCTGGTCCCTCCAGCCAAGGCTGCCCTTGAGCTCCACATTCCTCACCAGCCCCTTCTTGGTGAGAACAAGGTCCAGCAAAGCACCTCTCCTCATTGGTTCCTTTGTCACTTGGAGAAGGAAGTTACCATCAACGCATTCCTGGAATCTCCTGGATTGGTTCTGCCCTGCTGTGTTGTCCCTCCAACAGATATCGGGGTGGTTGAAGTCCCCCATGAGGACCAGGGCTGTGAACGTGAGGCTGCTCCTGTCTGTCTATGGAGGGCCTCACCCACTTGGTCCTCCTGCTCAGGCGACCTGTAGCAGAGCCCCACCACAGTGTCACTTGTACCTTTAATCCTGACCCCATAGCTCTCAGTTGGCTCCTCATCCATCCCCAGATGGAGCTCCACACACATGTTTTATTACCAGAGCAGCTCTCTTCCTGTGTCCAATTAATGTGGAAACTGCAGAATATTTAACTAAAAGTAAAATAAACACCTGTCTCACCTCCACACAGCAACATAGGCTTGTCCCTTAGCCCTGCTCGCACACCGGTGGTTGTGCTGAACGGCATATTCCGCTGTTGAAGTCCACGTTGCAAGTCACAAATCAGGTTCTCCAAGTCCTTTTTTGTTTTCTTAGGTTTTCGGTTTTCTCCCCGCGAGGCACCTGCCGTGGTTTCACAACTGAATTCTGACGCCAGACGGAGCGTTCCCTCGCTTATGATACACTGTGGAAAAGCACAGGAATTCCGTTAGCTATCCAAACTCTCTTCCAGTGTTTGTCTCAACCCAGCTCGCCCTTTGTCAGGTATTTGAAACATGGAACCACAGTAACAAGACACCTACTTCTGCTGTGTCGGCCAAGGTTTGCTCATTATTTCACAACCCATGACCACCACGGGACTAACAGGGTAGATGGAGTTGTGACTCCTCTGTCCACATCCCCCAACCACCATCTCACCCCCGTTTAGCTCTTCAGCCAAAGCCAGGGAAATTACGGTTTCTAATCATACCACGATGTGCATTAATTATGGAACTACGTTGCCTTTTTAAGTTTTAGCAGGTTGCAACAGGAGAAACTGCACTGGCAGCAAGAGCCAGAGGAACGACACCACGCAACAGAACACAGGGGAACGGAAAAAGAACACAGAAACGGAACAGAACACAGAAAAGCGAGACGGGAACTAATTCCATCCACACGTGACGTACTGGGGACGTGCCATCAGCGGCAAGCCCCCGTACGGAGGTCTCACCCCGCTCTGGTGGCCGGCAGCGCCGACGGACACGTGTCGCCGCCGTAACTGGGGCCAGCGGGTCGTGACACACGGTGGGGAGCCGAGTGACGAGCCCCTTGGGTTGGTCAGTGCTGGTTGTAACGACAGCGATTCACGTCGCTCTGTTGTTTCGTCGTTACTTTTCTCCCCTAAGAGTCGCCGTTCTGCTGCTCCTTTTCATCAGCAAATGCTGTCCGGTGGCACGGCTGAACGTGAGGTTGGAGTAACCTGCCCACCTGCAGCTACACTGCCCATCTATGGTCTCCATACGGCCCATGGAGAGAAATATTTTCAGGATGAGTCATAGAATCATGGAATTGTTTGGGTTGGACGGGACCTCAAAGATCATCTCGTTTCAACCCCCCTGCCATGGGCAGGGAAACCCTCCACTACACCAGGTTGCTCAAAGCCTCATCCAACCTGGCCTTGAACACTTCCAGGGATGGGGCACCCACAGCTTCTCTGGGCAACCTGTGCCAGTGCCTCACCACCCTCAGAGGGAAGAATTTCTTCCTTAGATCTAATGGAAATCTCCCCTCTTCCAGTTTAAAGCCATCACCCCTTGTCCTGTCACTCCACACCCTTGTCCAAAGCCCCTCTCCAGCCTTCCTGTAGCCCCTTCAGGCACTGGAAGGTCTCCCTGGAGCCTCCTCTTCTCCAGACTGAACAGCCCCAACTCTCTCAGCCTGTCTCCATGGCAGAGGTGCTTCAGCCCTCGGATCATTTGATGTATTTTAAATATGTATTGCAGGGTGAGAAAGATGACATCCAGGAACAGCCTGCCTCGTCAGAGGAGAGCTGCTCTCACTGACCTAAGGAACAGCGCACGAGGCATCTCCTCGACAGTGGTACACGTAGCCAGGGTGCGTTTCGTTATTCTCCAAAGGACTTTTAGCCAGGTTTAAGTGTACTCAGAAACACACAAAGGCCTGATTACAATCTGGTAATATGCATCCATCATGTTCACAGACAGATGTTTCTCTTGGCAAGCGTTTAAAACACTTCAGAGGCAAAGAGCACGGGTGTGGGCAAGGGCCAGAGGCTCAGGAACTCACTTGGAACTTTCCACATCGTTGTTACTGCACCAAAGCTACGCGTGGCACAGAAGCACTGCCTGAAGCACAAACGTTACCGTTCCGTGACGCTGCTGGCTCTCACGGTGGAACTCACGACCCGTTACACCTCCGGGGCAACATCTGCCATGCAGTTCGGAGGACACTCACGCTTGTGCTCAGCGAGTACATAAAATAAACCAGAAACCACCCACACGACTGAGCAGACTGAGTCAGCAGCACTGGAACAAACTCTGGAAACCAACTGACTATTCGGAACTTGTTCTCAACACCATAATGAAATTTCCAACATCTGGACCGTTCACCTGAGTCTCCTTCGTCCGGCACCGTTGCGCACCAGGCACGAAGCGAGGCAGGTGACAACAGAGGCACCGGCGGCGCGTCCGCGGCAGCTCCGTCATCCCGTGATGCTCCGATTTTCGGCAGCAGGGGAGAGGGTCCGTGTCAGGCCGTAGCAGGAAC